TTTTTTTTTTTTTTATTTTTTCAGGGCACAGCCAGCTAATTTTGTAATGTTTATTTTGGGAAAGAATAGCACCCGATAAAAGTTCCAAGCCACTTTCCTAATGATCAGACCAGGACACATTGCCACCTGCTGGTGTACCCCAGGGTAATTCTACCCCGAGAACTCTTTTAATTGCGTGTTTTTGGCATATAACTGGAAAGAGCTCTAGCCATCTGTATAAAATGACCAAAATGCAAACCTTATCTCCAAACCTGTATCTTTCTTAAACATAGTAAATATCATTTTGCCATACCCTAATAAACAGGTACGAAATTAATTGGACCCAATGACTCATCAAATCATGCATTTAAAAAATGAGTTCTCCTCTTTCCTTCAAGAATGCCTCACTACTTGAGCTTCAGGAATAAAACAAACTGGAAAGCTTCCTAATTCACCTTCCCTTCCTTGCATACAAAACCTCTTGGCAGGCTGCTTTCAAGATCTTTCCAAACTTAAACAGACCCAAAGTTCTAGCTGTGAGCAAAGAAGGCATTTGCTGTGGGAAAGCTTCAGAAGATGGTAAGCAAAGGATTTAATTAAGCCAGTGGTTATTCATTCCAGAGCTATTTTTTTCAATGATGAAAATCTCTATGTTCACCCACAAAGCTCTAATGGTAAAAACATCCCTGAAAGCCTCTTTAGAACTGTTGGTAGCTCTAGACTGTTCTAAAGGCTCTAACTATAGAATGCCTTCAGAAGAGTCCCACCAATCTAGGTGGAACACACTCCCCATGGTCATTAGTCCCTTACCTAAAAAAATGACACCAGTGACACAATCCACCATGCATGCTCTTTGAGGTTTCCCTGGGGAGGGGGTAGGGGAGGGAGACTGGCTATCCTAAACCACATCCTTACCCATTCTTCTTTCAATGTTTATTGAGCACCTACTATGTGTCTAGCACTGCTCTAGGCATTGGAGGTACAGTTCTGAAGAGAGCCGAGGGTCCTTATCTTCATGGAGCCCACTCAACATCATTTTCAAGGCAACTGCCCAAACAAATGGCAAAAATAAAGAAAGGAAGTTTTTCCTCAGTCTTTAGCAAACTGTTTTCTGTATTCTGTATGTAGATGTTGCCCCGAAAAGTAAACAGCATTAGGAATGGTTGATGGTTAAGAGCAGATAAGTGGTATTTCACAGATAATTATAAATATGGGTCAACATTTCTACACGCCATTTTTTTTTTGTTTTTTTGTTTTTTTTTTTACACTTCTTGGCAAAATCACACCAAAGATACAAAGGCAGACTCTGGGTTGATAAAAATTTGTTTATTTTTATAAAATTCAGTACAAATCTTATTGAAATATAAATCTTTCTTGAGCAGTGTTAGGAATTATTACATAGTAATCCAAATGCAAATGAATAAAACACTTCATTTTGTCCGACCATACCACATGTTAATTAGCCCTTCGTTTACCCGTGATGTCAAAACTCAGCATCTTAACTGCTGAGTCACCTTCATTTCCCATTTTTCTCTCAGGGAGGTTCCTTCAGAGTTACTAGTTAAAGCATCAAGAAAAGCTGAAGTGAGCTATTTTTCTTCTCTTATTATTTAGGTTATTCAAAACGCAAAAGGAACCTACGTACATTCCCAGGAGTACCCCTAAAACACCAAGGTCTGCAATCCCTTCACGTCTGAGGAGTAAAAAGAAAAAAAAATTGGTACCAGATTAAGTCTATTCATTTGTCTGGTATGGAACAGGTGGCACTGTGCCAAAATTCAAGAGCCAGCTTTTTCTTTTTTTAAGCTCCTGCGCCAAGCCACTCTTTTTCACTAGGCTTTTGCTAGAATCAGCATTCCCCGGCATCCAACTTTGACCACAGTTTTGTTGGAAAGAAGCTCACCAGCATTCTGGGGATACTGATCACAGGGAAAAAAAGAGACGGGATGCTACTGTCAGATTGTTTCCATCTGCAGCAAAACTCATTAACCAAATGACAGTCATTTTAAAAGACCACTGTCAACATGCCTTGAAAGTTGCTTTTCCCAGAGTAATGATGACGTCATGCCATTCCAACGCTCCATCATGCCTGGGCACTGACATCCATTTTCAAGACCACTCGTTAGGTTCGTATTACCGGTGACCACAGAATGGGCGGAGACTTCCTACTGACCTAGGCTTAGACTTCGGTAGCCCCACGTGTTTACTCACCAATTAAGCAAATCAATCCCCAGGGGTCTAAATGACATAATCCAATAAATAAATAACAAGCAAATAAATAAATAAATAAATAAACAAACACAAATAAATAAATCGTCCCTTTCCCCATAAAAGTCCTACATTCATTCACAACAGGGTTTAAACTGACATAGAGAACACAAGTGACCTGCCCAAGTGATCTGGCAAGTGAGGAGCAAAATTAGTTAAAAGAACCCAGAAAGTCTTGATTCCTAATCTCTCATGTTAAGCTTACGTTCTTGCTTTTCCTGGGTGGGATGATAGACTATCGCACTAAGAAATTTTTGTTTGTTTCCTTCTAGGACTGGCCTTGCCATCTGATTTTATCCATAGAGAGTGGCACCTTATTCAGAGAAAAGAAAATGTAGGAAGTGGGCTAACAGGGAATGTGTTTGGGAAAAAATAAAATAAAATTCGCCTCATCCCCCTGAGGCCGGTACACTTTACTCTTTGGTTCTGGTTTGCAGGATGTATAGCAGGGCTGAAACCTGAACTGCCATCTCAAGCACAGTGGAATCCACATGCTAAATCCCTATGGAATTCAGTCACAGCCTCTCATGCCTAGGAGATTAATGCACAAAAGCCCTGAGAATTGGCATCATTTTCTCGGTAGGGCAGAACCCGTACAACAGGACTCGGTAAATCTGCCCACACCTCATTCATCTCTCATCCGAAGCCCTAACTCCCTGGTTTTTGTACAGAAAAGAGTTACCAGAGCAGGCCTGAACTCCTGTCCTTGGAAAGGCCTCCGTGCAAGGTTGGCCCTTGGCTGGCATCTGGAAACTTAGATTTCAGGAGGGCTCCCTTCATTAACTGATGAGAATGGCTCACCGTGCCTACACTGTGCAAACAATATGGTTTAGGCTGAACACCTGCTCTCCTTCTGGGAGTCAGGAATTCTGCTACATGCCAGGCGATGGCTGCCTGCATGACCCCCAGTAAAAAACTGGGGCACTGAGCATCTAATGAGCTTCCTCGCTGGACATTTTACACGTATCGCCACAAATTGTTGCTAGAGGAAATCAGTGCATCCTCAGTGATCCCACTGCGAGAGGACTCTGGAAGCTCGGGCCCGGTTTCCCCTGGACTCTGCCCAAACACCTTTTCCCTTCACCGCTCTTCCCTTGAATCCTTTCACTGTAATTGATCACAGCTAGGAGTTGCACTACATTCTGAGTCATGTGAGTCCCCTCAGCAAAGCACCGAACCTGGGGGTGTCTTGGGGCCCCTCGACAGTTGGTTTAGGGTCACTTCTCTCATCCTTTCCCTTTGTTTAAGCACAGCCCCCTCCCTGATCCAAGGCTCAGAATGCCAGACATGCATCTTCCTAGAAGTCCCTCACTTTAGAGTAAATGGGGTGACTTTATTTAAATTGCTACACGGAAAGCAGGAACAAGGGTTTGTTCAAGGAGTCAATTCTCGAAGAAATTCTCAAATTCCTTCCTGAGCGGTCTAACCATCAAGCATCCCAGAGACAAGAGGACCCGGGGACACCACGAACAAAAAGGAAGGCAGCTGTGCCCACCCCCACCTCACAGCTCTGACTCATTCACAACTACCCCTGAGTAGTCTCACTTTCTACACCTGCGCCACGGTAGACGTGAGTGTTTTAATACTGGTATGGGCTCCACTCAAAGACTGACCACACTGCCTGATACGTTTAGCCCTTTCTTGAAACCTAAGTGTGTTATGAGCCTGATTCTAGAACAGCCGTTATCTCCAACCTGGGTCCTGTGGCTGACTAACCCGATCCGGCATCTGGAGGAAGCCTTGGCTAGCGCGTTTTCAGATGTCCGTTACGTTTCAGCTGCCGCTCCTCCCTCCGCCTGCTTCTCCAGGCGTGGTATTTTTTGATGCTTTTCCTCCACGCAAAGCGCCAGATGCTAAACATGAAACACCAAGAGACAGCATACATCGCCACTCCCCCAACCTTCACAAACCCCTTGGGCTTGGGGGAGACCATTTCACAGAAAAGGAGGCGAGCTCCGACGCCAATCCTCACTCCCGTAAACAGAGCCACAAAGAGGAAGTCCACCACATCTCCAGTGAAACTGTGGTAGTGCCCTGTTTCTCGGAGAAACCAGCGCATCTGTAGCAAGGGGTTGGTAATCTCACTTCCAAAGAGGACCGCGTTGACCTCTGTGCCTGATTCTCCGAGCACCAGGGCCATGATGATGCCCAAAATACTCAGGGTGTGGTGGGCCAGCATCAGGGCCCCCTCAGACTGGAAATAGACGCACCAGCCCAAGTCGAAGATGAAGTAGCCCAAGGTGAGACACAGTACGTGCACTTGGAGAGGTGTATTGGGTGAGCCTGCAATAAACCGAGACAGAAGCAAACTGAGTGACCGGGAATCGTATAATAACAGTGACCTTGCACGAGGGTCCTATGTTGTTGTCTCCCACAACAGGGCCACGATGATCAGTTGCGTCACTGAAAGCAAAAACAAAGGCAGGCACATGCATTGTAATGACGACCAAGACTAAAATCTAAAACCTTGGTCTTTATCAAACCACATAATGTGACAGGCCCAGGAAATGCTGGATTTGATGAATCAGCTCTCAATGAGTGATCTGAGCAACAGCCATTATCTCCGTGTCCACTCAGTTATTTTGTTCCTTCAACTAAAATCTTACAGTTTCTTGCTTTCTTCTTCTTTTTATTTTACGTGTTTGTTTAACCAGCTTTAAAGGTCTGTTTCCAGACTGTTTCAGTTATTCTGCCCTGGATGTCGGATTAATTTCTTAGCTTAATGGGTTAGATTGTTGGACACTGGTGGCCCTGACCCTTCTTGAAAGCAGGCCTTGGAAAGAACCCCAGAGGTTAGTGTGTTCCCAGCTTAAGAAAATCAAGTACAAGGACAGGACACGTTGAAATCTATTTGAAACCTGCATACGAGACACAAAGCTTAAGAGCTGCTTTCGTATCAGTTTGACAGTTTTTTGGGGAAAAACTCAGAAGCTCACTATAGAAATTTAAGGCAATTAAAACAAAAAAGGATCTAAGGAATTGAAAAAAAAATCACATCCCAGGGGATTTCTGGATTGAACTGTCCCTTGCAAACTCACGTGTTGAAACCCTAACCCCCAATTCCCTCAGAATGTGACTGTACTCGGAGATTGGGCCTTTAAAGAGGTAATTCAGTTAAAATGAGGTTGTTAAGATGGGCTCTAGTCCAATATGGCTGGTGTTCTAAAATAAGGAAATGAGAACACACACACACACACACACACACACACACACACACACACACACACACCCCAACGGAAGACCACGTGAGGACACGGCAAGAAGGAAGCCACCTGCAAGCAAGAGTGAAGCCTTAGAAGAAACCAAACCAGCCAACAATTTGATCTTGGACTTCTAGCCTGCAAAACCGGAAGTAAATAAGTTTCTATTGTCTATGCTCCCCAGTCTGGCATTTTGTTATGGCAGCCCCAGCAAACTAATTCAAGGGGACACAACTTTTTTATTCTAAGGAAGTAATACTCAGACATTTAGCAGCTTAAAAATCAATATAGGTGCCCCAAATAATGAGACATGAGTTAAATAAATGACGATGTATGCATACGACACAATATTATATCACAATTAAGACGGGTAAAAAAAATCTATATAGATGTCCTTCGAAAATACAATCGAGTGAAAATTGCAGGCTATCAAAAAGTATGTGTAATACAGTCCATTTGTGTCTGTTTGGGAGTGGTGGTGGAAGATACTGATATTAGCTTTATGTTTTTGTACATTTCAGTGGCTTACAACGTAACAGGCATTTAAAATTTGTTTCAAAAGCAGAGAGTTATGAAGAGCAGAAATAGGGACACATACAATATCAGAGTTAAAAATGAAGACTCCCGGTACAAATTATAACGGTAATTCCTCTTCAATATTGTACACATTCTGTGAAAATGTCCCATCCTTCCAAGACTACCCCCAAATTATATAATCCGTTAGGGAAAGCCCTCTAATGTCTCCACCTACCTGGGTGGGTAAAAGGCCAGGGGCCATCAACGAAGCCAATATAAGCTGAGAGGCCTATGGAGAGGACTCCATGGGTGAAAGTAACCAACCGGCAGTTCCACTCATAGCTTCGGTGCTTATTCAGGCGGCAGAAAGAAATGTAGAGCGAGAGCCAGCCCCCCAGGCTGCACAGCACCTGCGGACACAGACCTAGTGCCATCCTATGATGAAAAGACCGAAACCAGAAAAACAAGATATACCCTAAGAAAACAGCAGTGGGTCAATGCGAATATAATCTTCATTTCTTCTATAGGAGAGTACAAAAACATTGCCTTCACTGAAACTCTTCCTTATCTACACAGCTGAGAATCTTCTTCTTTTTTAAAAAATATTTATTCATTTTTGAAAGAGAGACACAGGGCGTGAGCAGGGGAGGGGCAGAGAGAGCGGGACACAGAATCCAAAGCAGGCTCCAGGCTCTGAGCTGTCAGCACAGAGCCCGACAGGGGGCTCGAACTCACAGACTCTGAGATCATGACCTGAGCCGAAGTCGGATGCCCAACCAATTGAGCCACCCAAGCATCCAACATTGAAAACATTTTTTTAAAATAAGGATGAGGGGCGCCTGGGTGGCGCAGTCGGTTAAGCGTCCGACTTCAGCCAGGTCACGATCTCGCGGTCCGTGAGTTCGAGCCCCACGTCGGGCTCTGGGCTGATGGCTCAGAGCCTGGAGCCTGTTTCCGATTCTGTGTCTCCCTCTCTCTCTGCCCCTCCCCCGTTCAGGCTCTGTCTCTCTCTGTCCCAAAAATAAATAAACGTTGAAAAAAAAAATTTAAAAAAAATAAAATAAAATAAAATAAAATAAGGATGAGTACATGTCAATAATCTGTCAGTGATGACTGACCTTGAACAATGATACATGAGGAACATAGTACACGTCTTCGATAATGTATTCACTCCAATGAGAAGCTCTGGTGAAAAGAACAGGACTACTGCCTGTGGTTTCTGCTAGAGGTCATATGACATGTAGGAGTTTAATGTGGTTTGAAGCTGATATTAAACTCAACTGAAATTGGGACTTAAGTCACAGTTTTACCAGTTAAAATGGAAACTTGAGGTAACCCTAAACACAGAACTAATCAGACTCCAGATATTTTAGAAGAGAAAATAATCCGAGTTCGATTCAGTTCCGAAACCCAATTCAAAGACTAACCAAGAGGGAAGCAGAGGGATGTGGAGGTGCATGTGGGAAGTTTTTGTTGATACAGAAAAATATTTTTGGGGCGCCTGGGTGGCTCAGTCGGTTAAGCGGCCGACTTCGGCTCAGGTCATGATCTCACGGTCTGTGAGTTCGAGCCCTGCGTCGGGCTCTGTGCTGACAGCTCAGAGCCTGGAGCCTGTTTCAGATTCTGTGTCTCCCTCTCTCTGACCCTCCCCCGTTCATGCTCTGTCTCTCTCTGTCTCAAAAATAAATAAACGTTAAAAAAAAGATTAAAAAAAAAAGAAAAAGAAAAATATCTTTAAGGCAATTATTTAATTAAACATACAGTCAGAAAGCTACATTTTGAAATTTTTACTGATGACAAATATATCAGGCCAAGAATGACTGTAACTGAGTCAATCTAAGTCATACAGGACTAAAATCTTCAAGTAACCAAGATGGTATTAATATTCGTTAGCTCCTCTATTGAAATTTCGTACAAAAAAAAAAAATTTCAGGTATCTGTCTCATCTCTGCAGGAATTTTCTGCATGGCTACACTTATTGCTTAACCCTATTCTGACAAGTGAAATAATATCTGAGGACCAACACACTTCAGTACACAAGCCGCTCCCAGGAATGCTATCCAGAGAGGGCTTTATGAAGGTCAAGTTCTGCGCTGCCTTCAGCTGAAAGCAGCTTTCTATTCAAGAAAACAGTAGGTGTCAATCACAGACCTGAGTTCCAATTCTGTCTGTGCCCCCTAACTAGCCATAAAACACTGAGCAAATCACTGTCACCTCTTGAGCCTCCCTTACAAAAAAAAGGGGGGGGGAGGTGGAGGTAGGAAAAAGAAAGAGAGAGAGAAGAAAAGAGTATTGTAAACTCTAATCCGGCCCAGTTCTGACAAGGAGTTCTGAGATAAATTTTGTAAAGCATCTAGGCCAGTTTTCGGAGCAAGGCCCAGAAATACAAAGTACCCAGAGTGAAAAGAACCGTCCTCGCTTATTTCCTTCTAAATGCCAGGGTCACCGGCCAGTAATGCGGATCAGCTCATTTGGATCTGCTGATTAGTATTTTTAGAGTCCTCTTCCCTGAATCCTAATTCCCTGGCAGAACAGAGGAAACAGTAGTCTATTTACAAACACTTAAAAGAATAGACATTTGTAAATGGCAGATACAAGTCTGTGACCTTGGGAAAGTCAGTCCATCTCTGGATTTCGGTTTTTTACTCTTGGGTAAAGGAACGGAGGGGTATTGAGATGGCCGATCGGGCACAGAATTCCAAGGCCCCTGTCCTCGCTCCTCCCGTTCCCGGGCCAGATTCGGGAGGAGGAGCGCGGGGCGGACCCACCTGGCGGGCGGCCGCGGAGCAGGCGTGGCTGGGGCGAGCAGCAACCCCGGCGCCCCGCAGGCACCGCGACCGGCGCATCTCCCTCGGACGCGCCCGCGGACCGGGCCACGCCCGGCTGCGCGCACCTACGCCGCGCCGCTGTATGGGCATCCCGCCGGTCGCCGAGCCTGGCGAAGCAAAGCCTCCCGCGCCCCGAGGCAGGAGGAGCCCCCCACCCCCACCCCTCGGCCGCCAGGCCAGACCAGACCATCTGCCCGCCTCCTTCCCCACCAGTGGGCCGGGCGGGCCGGGCCCCCAGCGTCCCGAGCCCAGCCCCGCGGCAGGAGCCGGGCGGCTCGCGCCGCGCTGTTACCTGGCCGAGCGCATCGGGAAGCCTCGGGCGCCTCGGCCCCAGAGCTCGGAGCGCGGATCGTCGGAGCAGGAAGCGGCGGAAAGAGGGAGAGAGGACGAGGATCTGGCGGCGGCGGAAGAGGAGCCGGGGGTCTGGGGGCACCTTGTGGCTGGGAGGACGGAGCGCAGAACCCGAGCTGGACGGGGAACGTCCGTGAAGGGAGCCGAAGGGTACTCCTCCTTAGCTCGGGGCCCAGGATGGGGGGGATGGATAGCGGAGGGTTACCTGGTGGTCACGTGAGACCTACAGGTTGTTGCCCTTGTTTGTGTGTTGTTGTTTGTTTCAATAATTACCCATCCCGCCTCTCCCCCCCCCCCCCATGTGGGGACAGCCCATCCAATAACCAGTGGCTGAGCACCTACTGAGGGCTCGCACCCCTACTAGGCACGATGGGAGATGTAAGACGTAGTCGCAGCCCTCCCGCTGGAGTCTCAGTTGTGAAACAAGCACGCAATTAATTAGCCAGGAAAGTGCTCAGGCCCGGGAATTAGAAGTTATTCCTTTTCGTTACAGCCCTATCACCCTACTTGGCAGTAGAGTATAAGGCTTAAAACTTAACGTGGTTTGGGGCACCTGGGTGGTTCAGTTGGTTGGGCCTCCCACTTGGGCTCGGGTCATGATCTTGCAGTTCGTGAGTTCGAGCCCCACATTGGACTGGCTGCGGTCAGTGCAGAGCCTGCTTTGGATCCTCTACCCCCCTCTCTCCTCCCCGCTTGTGCATGCGTCTCTCTCCAAAAAATAAACGTTTAAACAATTTTAAACAAACAAACCCAGCCTGGCTACCGACTCTGTGTCGTTGGGCAAATTAACTTTTCTGTGCCTCCATTTTCTCAAGCATAGAACGGGGATAGTAATTGCTATCTTATAAAGCCATTGTAAGACTCTTACACACTTCACCTGTGAAAAGTGCTTAGCACAATGACAGGCACAAGGAAGCCACTATGTACATGTTAACGGTTGTTGTGACACTTTGGGTAAATCCTTTTCTCCGCTCTGAGATCTATTTTAATACCAAGGGAAGTGAAATTGGAAGAGATGACCAAACTAGCATGGGGGCACAAATGCGGTAAAGAGGGCATCTGGTTTGCTTTATCAGGACGGGCGACAATGGGATGCTGAGGGGCCCAGACGGTCTTCAAAAGAGAAGACCGTAAGTAGAAGGGTGAACATTTACACCACGGCTGGGGAGTAGTTAATAATCTAGTTTTGGTGTTTATCTTGCCAATCTCTCATGAGTAAGGATCAAACTGTTTTCATCTTTGTTTTCTAATACCTGGTAGGAGGCAGGTGCACTAGATGTTTGCTGGTTGAATGAATGGGAAATGAGCCTGGAAAAGTGTATTAGAAGCATATGGTGTCTCCTAAACCTTGTTGATCTTCTGTAACGCTTGGGAAGTGTTTCCAAAATACTCTTGTAGGGTGTACCTTGAAGAGTACGATTCAGTAGCCTTCGTGTGGGGTCTAGGAATATACATCTTTTAAAACCTGCCCCTGGATCATTCAGATATTAGTCACACTTAAGAACCACTGCTGTCGGAGGGTCTTCAATGACTCTGATGCCAGCCTGAGATGCCAGGCTGAGGCATCTTATTATGTGGGTAACAAGAAGTCTATGATGTTATTAGGCAAGGGAATCATTTTATCAAGCCCTTGCTACTCAAAGTGTGGCCCATAGCCCAGCAAAATCTGCATCTCCTGAGTTTGTTAGAAACAGAGTCTCAGACCCTGACCCCAGACCTACTGAAGCAGAACTGCATGCTAACAAGGTTCCCAGTGATTTGTACGCACTCTTGGATATTGGTTCTCATCCTTGATGGCACAATAACATCATTTGAGGAGCTTTTAAAAATCTCAGGGCCCAGGCTATGCCCCAAAGTAAATCAGAATCTGTGTGGGGATCCATCTTTTTTAAAGCTCTCCTGGTGATTCCATTGTGTAACCAAAGTTGAGAATCACTGCTATACATTCAACCAAAATCGCTGTAAGATGAACTGGAGAAGACAGTCTGCTTCAAGTAGGTTGGAACAGACCAGATAAGAGGTAATGGGAGCCTGATGAAAGAGAACAGGGAGGGATCCATTTCACTAAATGGAGAGTATGCATGGGGCGCCTGGGTGGCACAGTCGGTTAAGCGTCCGACTTTAGCCAGGTCACGATCTCGCGGTCCGTGAGTTCGAGCCCCACGTCGGGCTCTGGGCTGATGGCTCAGAGCCTGGAGCCTGTTTCCGATTCTGTGTCTCCCTCTCTCTCTGCCCCTCCCCCATTCATGCTCTGTCTCTCTCTGTCCCAAAAATAAATAAACGTTGAAAAAAAAATTAAAAATAAAAAAATAAATAAATGGAGAGTATGCAGATCTCAACTTTTCCCCATTTGCTTGCGATTATCGAAACGTTTTCTCCTTCTTCCTCTTCTCTCACTCCTCCTCCTCCTCCTTTCTTCTTTCTTCTTCTAAGTTTTACTTATTTAAGTAATCTCTACACCCAATGTGGGGTTCACACTCACAACCCTGAGAACTTCCAGGGCACCTTAGTGGCTCGGTCAGTTAAGCATCTAACTCTTGATTTCAGCTCAGGTCATGAACTCACTGTTCATGAGATCGAGCCCCTCGTCAGGTTCTGCACTCTCTACCTCTCTTTCTGCCCTTCCCCTCCCCGCCTTCTCTCTCAAAATAAACATTA